AGAGGGTGCAAACGCCCCCCCTGCTCCTGGTGGCCACACTATTCCTGATACAAGCCAGGATGCTGTTGGCCGCCTTGGCCACCTGGGCACACTGTTGGCTCATGGAATGGTTTGGGTCGGAAGGGACATTTAAGGGTCATCTAGTCCAACTTCTCTGCCATGGGCAGGGACATCTTTCACTAGTTGCTCAAAGCCCTGTCCAACCTGACCTTGAACACTTCCAATGATTGGGCATCCACAACTTGTCTGGGCAACCTGTTCCAGTGTCTCCTGGAAGTTACGTGATTTGCAGTTTGTACTTGACTTCCTAAAAAGGCAGAGTTCTAAAGCTTGTTGCTACAAAATGATTCTGATGGAAGACCAAATAGGATTTAAAAAAAAAAAAGTGCATAGCTATTTGCATGGGCAGTGTATGTAGTTGGAGGGGGGGGGGGGGGGTTTTGTTTTAAGCATGACAAAAGCCAAATACTTCCATAGATAAGCCAGACTAAGAAAGACTTTAGGAAGACTCTTCAATAATGGATGTACAGCTTCAGAGTAGTCCACTCAAGAATACATTTCTCTGAAGCATCTAGTACCAGCTGATGTCACACAGGATATTGGTTTTAACAGCCTGCTGGTTTGAACCATAGGCAATTATTATTTATTTATGTATTCTAGAAGCACTTCTATTTATATTTTAGACAGCGAGTGGCAGTATTGGTAAGTGGCCTGCAAGAGACTTTCTGAAAGGATAAATCAGTGGGCAGCATGCATAATGTATTGTCTGCTCTTTGTAAGATCAACATGAATATTTTCAGTTGCTGACATGAAGTCTTTAAATGATTGATGAAAGGGATAAATAATGGAAACTTTTTGTACTCAATAATTCCATTCTATTTTGTTTGGAATTAGCCTTAATGGGATCTAGAAAGGGTTCCTAACAGTAAATGCTGACAGTCATCATTTTATTTAAAAAAAGGGGATTGATACACTATAATTAAAATATAAATGATCAAAATGCAACTTTATGCTAGCATACTCTAATAGTACTCCAGCTTTCTATGTAGAAGAGAAGGGATGCCCTGTAAGTTGGAGGTCACCAAACTCATGTACTGAATGATACCATTATTCTTATTTACCCATATACCCTTGTAAGCCGTACAGAGCATGCCAGTGCTGGCAGCCAACAAGTGATTTACTTGAGAGCCAGGGCAGAATGACAGTGCCATGCTAAGAAGAGATACTCAAGTGTATCAAATGGAAAGACGTACAGGTTTATTAGCGAATGTGTCTGTTACAGCATAAGCTAGAGAAGCAAAAGTGCCATTGAGGTGGGAGGGAGAAGGGAACAGGAGGAAGAAACAATCCTTATAAATCCCTGCTTATTTCAGTTTGCTTATTTCTATGTATAAGGTGAGACTTGCAGAATTGGAAACTAATTCTTGTGGCCAAATGGTGTATTTGCTTTAGGTTGCAGTGATATTTTATCCTATTCCTTGTATTGTTTTATCAAACAGTAAAATATACTTAGTTATTTAATTTGTTTAAATATACATGTAATGCAGATGTAGCAGTTAGTCTTACATGCTTGCTGCTGGTTTTAGATATTGTAAATAAATTATACAGGAAACTTTTCTCATAAGATGGATAAAATGAATGTATAAAATAATGCAAAATGAACTTAGCACTAAGTCTGGTTTGAAAGCTTTTGTGTGGGTATAGTTTTCTGCCCTGACGTAAATGTTTTAAAAACTCCTTGCCAATGAAAATAGAAGACTTTTCCAAGAAAATAAGATGCTTTGGTCATCAATCTGAGATTTAAAAAAAGTAATTTTAGCGGTGTTTTTTCTTCTGTAGAGTACATATTTATGCTTTGTTTTTCACTGTTGAAGTACATCTGTTTTCAAATTCAAAAGCTGATCTTATTTCCCTTTCACTCATGCCATATGGGAATTTGAGATCCATCTCTGACTGTTAGTCCTGCAGGCCTTCAGTTCCATGATCAATCTGTGCTGGTTATTGATGTAATGTTCCATGAATTATGAGAAAAAATTGCCACTGCAGTTTTGCATTGTACTGAATCAGGTATATTGCAAATAACTTTTAACTAGACTTAATTATGGTACTATATAGCCACCTGGAATAGTGCATTATTCCAAATTTACCCTGTTATATATGCTTCAGGACTAAGGTGCTGTTTTCCATCCATAAGAGTTGTTTGGGGGTTTTACACTACAGTTCTTTTTGCTTATTTCAAAAAAAAAAAAAGAATAACCAACCTCAAACATGTTTGAAAGTCATCTTTTCTGTGACTAGGAATTTGTATGGGGTTGCTTTTTTTTTTGATCTTTGTTTTCAATTATTTTGCTGTCTATTTTTGTCTCATGATAAATTCTGAAAACCAAAAGTATGGTTCTTTTATATCAGTGAATCTTAGAGAAATGTATTTCTGGGGACGTATTTGTAAGTGTTCTGTTTTGGTTTGCTTTTTTCCACTTCAGCCTTTGAAATGGAATTGTTGAAGCTCTGATTGGATATAAATCTTACAAAAAACAAACTAGTGTTTGTTCAAACTTCAGCTTTACTATAAAACTTGTAATATATATTTCACACTCAAGGATCATAGTGGATTTTTGTTTTCAATGAATACAATCAGACTATAGGCAATTCTTTTACACATTTACGTTATTTTTAAGGGGCATGCAGCAGATGGCAAAATTAAAGCACTATTTCTAACCCTAATTCTGTTGGTTTTACTTGGGGTTAAGTGATGTTTTATTCACAGCAAACCTTGATGCCAGTAGGTCTAATCAACAAGATACTACTCATTGTGAGGAAAAGTGGCATAATGTCTTTGAATAAGTAAAGGTGTGGTAAAGCTATATAGTGTATGAGTATGATATTCATAATGCAGCTTAACTG